TTAAGTCACAGTTGTTTGTTACAAGTCAAGATATTTTTCCTTATTGAAAGGCTCTATGACAAATCTGAGAGCAGCTTAAATCTTAATGCAATATTGATGTATCATTTACATGTTTCGTTTGTAGCAAACTCCAAGTAAGTCTGAGTCAAATGGAGTGTTACTTCTAGAAAACATTATCTGTTAATTTAGTATGGTAATGTGGGAAGTTTTTTCCTGCATGAAAAAAATTAAATCCTTTGCACCAAATGCAGTTAGATATTTTTCAGGTTTCATAATACCAACCAAAACTGAGAACTATTTATGTGAGAGTAAAGAAACCTGTATAACAAGTATCCCATTGTTTTACTAAACAGAGAAACAAGAATTTATAGCAACCTAAGGCATGAATTATGTATCACTTACGGCTGATGTAGTGGTGATTTTGGAGATAAAGGTTTTCTATTATTAAGTGCAAATAGGATACCAGTGGCATTTTTTTTCATGTGGACAAAAGCCTTCGCTATGAATTCTCACCTGGAAGGGCAGTTTTAAATCTGAATTAACATGAAAGGAATTAGCAGTGTTTTCTTTTAACTTCCAAGTGACTTGGGGTTGAGGAAAGAAGTTGGCAACATGTAAGGAATAGCACTACTTCATGTCTGTATTCCCCCCCAAACTCATCTCACAAAACTATCCTGAAAACCAGTGACTTTGGCACTGTACAGTAAGATTTCAATTTACCAAAACCCTCTCAAGTTGTTACTTTCACCAATCTAAATTGCAGTAGGTATTTCAGGGGAAACTTTAACTTAGTTTTCCAATTCTACCCTCAACTAGTTAGGCTACAAATCATTACATGTTTAACCTCTTGAAAACTGCCCAAATATGTAAATTCAATAGGGTAAAAGGTTGAAGAAGTCCATTTCTTAAAGTACAGTCATGATCTTGCATCTCCGATTCTCCTCCCTTGGAGCATGGGAGGAAAATCCTGTATTCTGTAAACATAAAATAGTAACATGCCAATGACAGAAGTATCTTTTTCTTCTCTCCTTTATCTCTGTGACCTTTCTCCCATAGAAGAAAGACTGCACCACAACCTATGTGTTAGACATAACGTACGCAAAGCTTTATTTCATGACATGTAATGCTTGTTAAAACTTGCAGTGATAAAAGCTCACTGTTCTTTCCCCTGTGCTGCCCTTGTGATGACACTCAAGCTTCATGGGTGGCTGATAATAAGCACAAAATCTACTGTGTGCTCTTTGCTTGTTCCTCCAGTCATTGTGCAACACATCGAGTTCACAGCATTGGAAACTTCCTGTAAAACTGCCATCTAGTAAGCTACATTTAAAAAGAAATCCAACTCCAGTCCAGTTTATTTGTCAAAAACTCCTTCATAGTTGAACTTTTTCCATGGGAAAAACTACCTAAGGCCCCTTCCTGCTAATTGCAATTCTTTAGTCTGTCTTTAAAGACCCAATATAATTTCCAAATCTACTCAAGCGTAAAACATTTAGTTCCTGCTATTTTTCTTTTATTCAGTTGTTGAAATGAAGTTTACACCACAGCCTCTGCCCTTAGCTTTGGCCCAGGAAAACTGCTATTTCTAACTAGTACCTACACATACCTACACACCTAACACTGTGCTTTTATCAACTTTGCAGAGAGCTGTTACTCTCTTATAGTGTGACATTTGAGACGTAACAAAATAAATAAAACTAGGGACACAATACATGGACTGCAAAGTTCCCTTTCCTGCCCCATTAATTTCCTTGTCCACTTATCTATCACATAAACCAAGGCAGGTGTTTCAGGCAGGTGTTGGGAAGTCCCTTTCAATGGGAAGAGGAAAAAGAAGAAAGGGTGAAAAAAACCCCAATAGCCACTGCTGCAACTTGTACCTGTAAAATACGATGCATAGCGATAAAACGCAAATAGAAGCAACCAATTTTCCACACTTACTACTGTTAAGAAATGCCTTTTAGATGTCATGTTCAACACAGCTGTTGAATGTAATGGCACAGTGAATCTGGATGGTGAATCCTCCTTTCTTCAGCCTCAAAACCAAAAAGGAATTCCATCTCTTGTGGAACGGAGTTCTGATCCTTCCATATATGCAGAGTACTTCATGCTGGAGACCCACTGGAGACTTCTTCAGCAACTTAGACATAGTCAAATGATGAAAAAACATGATCCAGCAGGACCTCTGTCATTGCTTGCAGTTACTGAAGAACCTGGATTTTTTTTACAGCAAAATCAGTGGCTCAGTTTAAAATTTGAACTATCAGACACAGGGCTTACTTACTAAATAAAAAGGAGTATTATGGGACACCTGAAGTCTTCAAAATGCCCTCTTCAAGGTTGTTCAGGAATACCGTCCTCTTTTAGTACTTGGTAGTTTCTGAGAACTGTGTATACTTGTAATTCTGAGGAGCACAAAGATAGCTGAACACTTCACACCTATGAAACTCTTCAGAACTATGGACACCCCAGACCTTTAATTTTACGCATGCAGTTTCACAACCTAGTATCCAAACACATATTAGCAGTTTGCTCACCACATAGATATGAAAACCATGATTCTCCATGTGAATATGCTCTGAAAAGCCATAAATCAACAGAAACACAGGTTTAAAAATTTTCAATATTGAAATTTATTTCAAACTCAGGGGTTAAGCGTGGTAAATTTCCAATGGTCTGATAATAGCACACCCATGTCGCTATTGCAGAAATTGCACTAATTCCCTCTGCCCCCCTCCCCCTTAGAAATCTGGTTAGTTTTAACATCCGATGGTTTTGCAAATAGTGTGGCTCTAGGACACTACTGCATTTCCTGAGTGTTCAAAGCTACTGTATTATACATTAAGCTGAAGGAAAAACAATTAAGTTATTATTCAGAACTAAACCAGCTATTTTACCTTGCTGCTGAAGTATGGAATCATAAAATGCAATGTATTTTAACAGGAAGTAGTTTTGGAACGCTTAAAGAGGGGAAAAAAAAGGAAACCCCAACTTTTTTTAAAAAGACATCCTTTTTTGCCTCAATTTTAAACTAAATAGTTTTAAACTTCAAGTCATTAACATCCAAACTATTAAAAATGGCCAAAGAACTTACAACTTGCTCAGACTGAAATGTAGTTGTGACTAAAATATCCACGTCGGTATTTTTTGACCTTTTAGGGTATTCCCAGTGGCTCTAACAAAAGCAGCACAACAGGTTTGTGTTTATCTTTTTTAGTGCTCTTGAAAATGAGTTACTAAGAGCACTGACCAGAGTGCTTAAACATAGGATTTCAGAGTATTGCCTTGCAACGCACTTCAGCTTTATTGTGCAAAACCCAATGTAGTCATAAACATCCCCACATTTAACACAATAAATTGTGCCAAGTATGTGATGTGAATGTCAGCTAATCCATCAACACTTTGACAAATGTCAGCTTGTCTATTCAAGCATTGTTCAAGCCCAGGGTAAAATTCCATTTGTCACAACTGAACTCCTCCACGGGCAGACTGCATAGTCTATGTAAGTTACTGGGCTTTGTCCAGAAAAATCTCTTCACAGCTGTATTCACTTTGGCAAACAGGTTTAGAGGAGAGTTTCAGCCCTCTAAATTCACCACGAGTTAATACATCAGTAGAGGTCCCACCATCTGTTCGTGGGATTTTTCCATGAAAGACCACAACCACTTCTTGATCAAAACAAAGCTGAAGCAGTGGCAGCTGACGGAAATGCTTAACCATGTTGTTCTGGCATAATTTTTATAATGCATTAGATTTATTGTCATTTACAGATGATTTTGGCAGAAGAGTTCTTATGGCTGCAGCTGAACAAAAAGCAACTTCTTTTCTCAAGTTTAATTTATTTTTTTTTGTTTCTTTATGGAAATTTGTTTTGAACAAAGAGCTGATAGTCCAGGCAGCTACCAGCAGGAACTACCAAGAGGTGATGTGTTCCACTCTAGTATTATGTCAGTGGCTTGCCAATCCTTTTCCCCTAAATATTTGTAAAAACATTGGAAATACCTATGAAATTTATAAAACAGCTCCTTAAACATCTGCTTAATGCCCTTTCCTTCAACTATAAAAGACCTCCACATTTCAGGGTCTTTTTCTGTGGATACAAGAGAGAGATCGAGGAAGAGGTAAAAGACAGGATAATTATCTTTTCAGTCATTATGTTACAAAATCTAAATGACTACTACTCTAAAGATTAAATACAGACTTTACATAACCAATCACAACAATGGAAATAAGCCATAACTGAAACCATATAAAATCCTTATCAGTTCAAGTGACAGTACATTAGTAATAGCCTTATAGGTTATACAGAAGATAATATACACAGATTCTAAATTATTTTTCCCCTTAAAAGCCACTGTCAGTATGATCACAGTCTTACTGTACGGACAAGTGACTTGAATATTTGTAAATACTAATGGGGAAAATCAAAGTTATAAAAGAAAAATGTATCAAGTACACCTTTAGACATGTCTATACTATGATTTAAATTAAAAGCCCTAAGCATTCTCCTACACATTCCACTTTCAACCTAAATGGAGTATCACTGTTAGTATACAAACCTCAGAGGGCACTGCTAATCTAATTAGTGTAACTATGCTACTATCTTACAAAGGAGATTAAGTTCAGATGTTTAGAAACCTTAACAGTAACAGAAAGTTAGAAACCCTAAGCAGCTACTCATATTTAACTATAATTACCTTTTAAAGAGCATTTGACTAAACTCCAGTATTTTCTATGGTCATTTATTAAAAGAAAGTTCTACCACACCTAAAGGATAAGGCATAGCCATCTACTAATTGGCATATTTGTTTATTTGTCTCAGTTTGTGAAAAGTTCCTTATTTGTGTAAGCAGCAAAACAAATTTCAACTGAATGATTGCTATATGCAAAAGGACTGAAGGCAACTGCCTCTGCAGTGAACTTTACAGTTCTCAACAGCACACACGCAACATGCTATCTGAAAAAGTTACTAACTGAACTACATGTATTAAATACTGAAAAAAGTTTTACATTTTTTATTATAATTTATTTTATTTAACAATCTAAGAAGTTTGCAGCCATCAGAAGTTCCAGTGCAATTTCAGGTGCAATTGGGAATTCAGGAATCTCCGTAGAGCTGTTAGTATAGCGGACCTTGTAGGTGAAATACATGCATACTTTGGATAGGACATGGGATGGGATCTCTCTAAAATTCACCTCATTTGTTTCATTTTCTGCAAACTGTCCTGTAGAAAAAAACAAAACACCAAACCAAAAGTCAGACTCTCAATTCACTGCAAGATGAAATGCTTTACCACGTGAATACAACACATTCTAAACAGACTTGTGTTAGTCCGATATTCCTAGGTATTCAGCATAAAGCAGGATGTGCTGCATTTACAACCCTCAAGAATATTAAGATCCCCTGCATTGCAAAATGTTTATTTTGGCTGCAGTCTATTAACAGTATTCTGAACAATTACACCAGAAATTTAGGTTTAATTCTGATGCTTGCTTGGTAGGTGCTCTTGTTCAGTTCCAAAGGTCACAAAAATAGTATTACAATCGAAATTTCTAGCTGTCTTAGCCAAGAAAGAATAAGTCTATATGTTCTGTATCTGCATATGCATATTTATCAGTAGTCCCTTCTATGATCACAGTAACTTTGAATTTTCCAGTTTCAGGCAGATTTGACAGAGGGTTGAAACCTCAAAGACACATTAACTTGATAAGCTGTGAAAGCAGGCAGCAGGAGGGACAGGTAGGGGATGACACTACAGAAGAGAGAAAGCACTCGTGTCAACTTCTCCGTCTTTTCTCCTCTACCCTTTTGGTCTTCACGTATTACTTCAGACACTTAAACCAGAGGCAGTCTTATATATGCAGTAACATGAGGTCCTTCCCTGCTGCAAATTCATCTCCCCTCCTCTTAAGCTACCCTTTGTCATTAAAAACAGGAACTCTTTGCCATAGGATCTCATGACCATATTGCGGCCTAAACCCCAGCAAATGGCTAAGCACCACACAACCACTTGTTCACTTTCCCCTGCAGTAGACAAGCGAAGAGGAAAGGAAGAGCAAAAGCAAGAAAAGTCATGGGTCAAGATAAAGAACTGTTTAATAAGCAAAAGACAAGTGGAAGAAAAAAGAAAAACAACTCATGCAAAGGTTATCACTCACTACCTCCCATGGGTAGACTGATGCCCAGTCAGTTCCCAAGCAAAAGATGGCTAAATAGCTAACCTCCTTAACCCACTCCTCTCCCTATTTACTTCATGACATTGTATGGCATGCAATATCCCTTTTGTTAGTTTGAGTTACCTAACTGGTGGTGTTCCCTTCCAGCCCCTTGCACAATACCTCCACCTATTCATGGGGGGGTGGGGAAGAGTGAGAAACAGATAAGGCCTTGACACTGTGCAAACCCTTCATAGCTAAAAAGTTTGGTGTGTTATCAGCATTGTTTTGGTCACAAATCTAGACCACGGGATCGTATGACCTGCTATGAAGAAAATTAACTCTCTACCAGCCAGACCCAGTAGAGAATACTAAAGGCTCCACCATGGAGGTGGCAATGAAGAGCTACCAATTCCTCTTTGCTTTCAGCTTGACAGCTACACATCTCATGTAATGCCCTCAAGTTCTCACATCATGAGAAACTAGTAGTAATGATACTGTAAGGTCCCTAACTCTCCAAAAGCAGACAGAGTCTAATTATATGGCTGGTAGTACGATACCCCACACAGGTGAAATGTTCCACTGGAAACAGGAACTAGGCAGGATCTGGAAAAGTTACTACTTATTCCAACTTTCACACACTGTGTGATATAAATTCAAACCTGTCCAAAAGTGAGAACAAAGAACATGAAGGTACTATATCTTTTGTACTTACCTGGTCCACTCAACATAGCTTTTATTGTTCCCGATGTTAATGCATGTTCTCTTTTTACAATGAACTCATGGCCGTCAGAGGATATTAATTTCACATACATAGCATCTGGGCCCTCACACCCACCATATGTTTTCTCTTCTCCATCTATAATGGAAAACAGATTAATCATTTCAGAACACGATGAGTAACTCACATGACTAAGTATGCAAGCTTCTCTATGTTTACAAACCAAAGAGCCCAATATAATCAGATGTAAGACAGAAGCCTTTTGCCTTTTTGAAAATGGCTTCTCTGAATCACTCAGCTGTCTGTTTTGAAGACAGAATTTATGCAAAAGTAGGAACTTTTTTTGTTAACATCTCTCTCATTTCTCCATCATCAAATTCTGACACGATTTCCAAAACCTAAGTATGGATGAAATTTTCCTTTAGACATTATCAGGTGAATTGAACATACTACTGCTTCCCTCTGTAAGGCTACTGCCATATTTACCATACTTACTAAAATGTATGATAAATATGGCTTTACTTACTAAAAGTTACCCGAATATACATAAAAACCAAACCAAACAAACCAAAGCAAGCCCAAACAAAAACAACCAACCAAACCAAACCAAACCAAACCAAACAAAAAAAAAACCCAAACAAAAAACAAGTGGGTTTTGAAGTACAGGTAAGAGTAAAAGCAGTGAGTATTCCTGTATGAAGAAATGACATGAAGTAAGATTCACCCTCCCCCACTGCCCAGCCAAACCAAGCACCATGCAGTGTTAGTGCACATCCATGTCATGACCTTTGCTGGAAACAGGGAAAGTACAAAAGCAGTAAACCCAAGGGAATTTGGAAACTCTCCCCACAGCAGTTTTGACTGTGCTTTTTCCATTTCTCTTCTCCCTTCTGTCTCACTACATACCTACCCTCTGTTTCTCTAGAAGCCTTATCCCCCTTCTCTTTTTGCTCCTTTATTTATTCTCTCCTAACAAAAGCTCAAAAAACGTCTGTTGCCACCACTGCACTGTTCACTTTGTGCAGGATGCACAGTTCCTCCATCTTGCACCGGTCTTGTCTATTTATGCAGCAGGCAGGAACCACTGACAGCTTTGTGCCTGTAGAGTGCTCAGCACTACAGGACACCATCACGCTAAGGAGACGTGACTCTGTATCTGGCCTTTGCATATTCCTGTAAACTCTTCAGGAATAAAGACTGCAGTAATGTTAAAATATTTTTGAAAAAATGCATGTAAAACCGCACCCCACCTAAATATACAATTCTATCAAATTCAGACTGAAAAGTTAATGCCTCCTTTCAAACACTGCGTTTTCTAAGGGACTAATACAACAACTATTGCTAGAACACCATTAAAAGTACTTGAACTTGACACTGCACAAAATTTGATTTTCAAAACAGTATTATCTTGACAAAAAGTTAAAAGTGAAAGTCCTGGAAGTTCTTCCAGCTTGGGAAAGTACAACAGAAGAGATCTGTACCCTTCTAGAAAAGTGATATAACTGCCAGTATTTATGATTGCATGCAGAAGTACAGGAGATGAAACAGGTACAGACTACAGCCTTGACATTTGATTGTCAGAGTTGGTTTTCCTTCTGACAAAACAAGGAATAGGAATTAATTATGTCAAAGCACCTCACATTATATCTAGTGTTACAGCAAATACAGAATTCTCCCAATCAATAAAGCTGCTTTGTGAATTTGAAGTAAAAATTGAATTATCGTGCAGTTATTGCCAGTTTTAATAAAGTATTGCCAGTGCCAAACATGCTAAAGTACATTCAGGAAAAGTGTAGATAGATCTTTAATCTTTCCAATCATGTTTCATTAAGTGGTCATTTGTAGAGGCAGACACAACAGTTTTGGAGATTTAGTCAGATCACACACAATGTAACTTATCAGAAATCAGTCCTTATTATGATCTCTTTTCCAGAATTCAACAGGCTGACCTTAACTAACAAACAAATTTAAAACAGCACACAGTGAAATTTTTTTGTCTACTATGTAAAAGCTTAGTGTTACAAAAGCCTAAAGGCATCCTGTTTTAGCATGTAAATTTTCAGCACTATGCATATTAAACAAGTGAAATCTGTTGTTGGGTAGATGCGTTCTGAACAGGTCTTTCAGCAAATGAACAGTCACTTCAGAAAATCTTCCTAAAAACATCTGTAGGAAGTTCCATTAACCCTTGAGGCTACAAGAAAACCAGTGACAAGATCATTATTTAAAGTCTTACAATCCACCTCCTCTACCAAACCTCGGAGATGATGAACTTACCCATTCTCTTCCTATTAAGCTTTTTTTCTTTTCAACTGCAGCTTTTGCAATAGGAGCGTCTGAAAAAAACACAAGTGGCAACATCTTCAGTCATAAGTCATCTTTAGTTATTAGCCTGAATGCTACCATAAACACTCTGCAGAAAAGAATCTCACACAGCATACAATGTTGATGAACATTATGTTTTGAAAGTGTTATGCTCTGAAATTTATTTTTGCTGTTGAGAGATCCCTACCATAATCCAGAAGCTGGAGAAAGGGGCCAACAGGAAAAGTATGGAGTTCATCAAAGGGAAATGCAAATGCCTGTTCCTTGGGAAGAACTACCCCAGGCAGTCCTGCCTGGGGGCACATCAGCTTTGCAGGAAGAGACCTGGGGGTGTTGGTGGACACCAAGTTGAACCAGGAATGTGCCTTTGCAGCAGAGGTGGCCAACAGCTGCCTGGGCTGTATCAGGAGGCATGTTGCCAGTAGGCTGAGGATGGTGATCCTACCCCTCTACTCAGCACTGGTGGGACACATTTAGAGTGCTGGGCTCAGCTCTGGGCTCCCCAGCACATGCCAGGCTGAACTGAATCCTGCAAAAAGCCACAGAGAAGACCAAGGGGTGGGAACACCTGTCATACAAGGAGAGACTGAGAGAACTGCAGTTGTTTAGGCTAGAGAAGAGAAGGGTGAGGGATGACTCTAATCAGTGTGCACTAAATACCTGGCCTCCAACTTATCCTTTCCAGGAGATTGACAGTTCCAGATACAGCCACCAATATCACCTAGATAGTCTACTTCAGACACTTCATGTAGGTATTTACATGGTAAGTTAACCAGGGGCTTCTGTAGTTTACAAATATTGACATCCAGCTTGCTACAAATTTTGCCAGGTAAATGAATCCAAAGAGTTAGAGAAATAGAAGCACTTGTTTACAGGACAAATCTGGTATGCTCAGTTACAACATTTCTTTCTTTACTTTGAACTGCATCTCTGCTGTGGAAAAGAAAACTTGGGAAGAGAAATTCCACTCACCCAACTGCTGTCCTAAAATTCCTTTCACATTAACAGCTACTCTCTAAACATTAACCCAATACAAATCAATACTACTGTTCAGTAGTACATTACCACTGTTCTGTGCCCACATGGTCAGGAAAACAGCACCAGTGATTCTGGGTGGTTTCACAGCTGATACCCAGAGCTGGCAGCAACAAAAAGACTGGTAGGAATTCTGACAAATCATGTTCTTGCTTTGAAAAGCAACAAGTGACAGCAGAGGCATGAACTGTGACTACCTACTAGAAAAGGACCCCAAGTGTGAAAACCAGAATACAGATCACTACTCACATCTCTTCCCTCCAATGTTTCTGGTAAAAGCTTAGCAAAATAAGAAAGCAAGTTGAGGAGGAAGCCGAAAGATTTGGAGGGAGAATTACAGAGATCTCTGCATCTCTTCAGAAGATGCAGCTCTTTGCTGCTGCCCATAGCTTCACTTCTCACCATCACTTTGGTGCCAATTTGTTCCATCTCCTTTTTCTCAAATTATTTCTACATTTCTAAAACTATAATTTCTACAAATATGCAATAGTCTGAATGTTTCCTCAAGCTTTCAGAGGCTGACTTACTATGTACACCTAATCAAACTACACATGCATAACCAACTGGTTTTAGTTGTCTCTGGAGAACTCAGCGGAAATCATCCTCCACTTACATCGTGGTCTTTGAAAATTATCCTTATTTCACAGAAATAGCTTAAACTATTTTCCTTCCCCATTGGTATCAGGAACATCTTCACCTGTACTCTTGCAGATGAAAAGTTCCTGAATATACAGTTCAGGACACATTTCAAGAATGACCTTTGAGAGTTAACTTGCATCCACTGTCATCAAGACACATTAATATCAAGTGTTAAGTGCCTTTGCCATTTACAGTAATTCCAGGAACTCATCCAAGGAAATTACATCTAGGTGCTGGAACAGATGCGGCACTGATGGGATCTTTCACCCTATTTCAACAGTTTTTTGTAAATAGATATCAATCATCTTATTGGAGAATATCTGTTGCTCAGGAACTGAAGGGATACCTGACATTATTACTTCTGCTTTGCAGGAGAGGATCACTTTGCTACCTCTTTCTCAAGCCACAAAACCCTTCCCTACATTCCAGAAGAGTAGTGAAAATAATAGCAACAATAAAACAAACAAACAAAACCCTGAAACCCCCAAACAGACAAAAAACCCCACAAAAACAAAACCACACAAGAAGTGATACCGTTTGGAGGTACTGATGATGATAAAATGTGCCTTGGTTTCCAATAAGAATAATGCCGCTAAATATCAGAATAAATACAGGCTAGTTAGTGGGAATACAAATATATTAACATCTTGCAAGGTAAAAGCATAACCTGAGAAGACTAATACATTAAAGCTGGGGAATTGAAAAAAAAAAGTCTACACCAGAATATTAGAGTTGTCCCAAAAAGCTGCAATAAGCATTTTAATAAAATCAAATGAAATGTGCTATTATAAGATTAGAGGGGGGGAAACCCAAGCCAAACAAACCAAAACCCAGTAGTTAACACTTGAAGAAAAAAAAAAAAAAAAAAAAAATCAGGCTCAGTGGTCTGAATTCAACTGTATTAAAAAGGAAGATGGGATAGAAGTGCAGTAAACATTGCAGATTTAGGACATGCTGGAATAAACCAATACCTAAAAAATGAATCAATCATTTCCTTGAAAAAAGGAAACACAATCAAGATGCAATCTGGAATCTGTAAATCATAAATAGATGAGAAGGTAATCTTAAAATATGAGACAGAAACTTAGTACCAAAATACAGTATGATGTTGCAAACATGGAACAACTGGACCAGAGAAGAGCTACCAATTCCTAAAAAAACTCTTTTTTTTTCTGTTTTAAACCATGCTGCCAGAAAAGAGTAGGCAGATTTAGACAATACAGAAGTGGAAAACACCGCAGAACATATAAGTCACCAGTCCTGAAAATGACAAACTAGGAGCCACATGAAAATATATCGTATTAAATGCAAGATTCCTGCACATAGGGACTGATGCAAGTTTCTTTCATGTAGTGAGGGCTTGTTATTTGGGAGTATAGTCATTCTGTGGTCAATTATAAGCCGATGCAGCACTGTAATGGGGGGAGGGGGCGGCGGGGGGAAAAGGAGGCAAATGCATATCAAGGATTTCTTTGCAATAAAGATGGGGAAATATGAACATTGTTGCACACGAGCAACAACTTGTCTGGAATACAACACACAATTCTGAATTCCCGTTTTCAAGAAAACCAAGTTCTAATTACAAGAACTACAGAAATGACCAAAGAGCCTGTTGTATAAAATAAAAATTAGTCTCACTTTACTCAGTTTAGCAAAATAAAACTAGAATGAACATAGACATAAGAATTTATTAAAAGGATAAACAAAGAGGGAAAAGTATTCTAATCTTATTCCTCAGTTTAAGTCCAGCAAAGCAACATACACTAAAAAAAAATAAAATTCATACTGCTATTCCAGAATCCAAGTTTGGTTCCAAATATAGAACAAAACTAACATTCTGTTACCAAAAGTAAAAGATGCATAAAGCCTACCTTCTTTTAAGAACAAGGCATAATACATGCCATTATATGATGCATTTGACATGTAAGCAAGGGATACATTTTGTTTTCTCTCAGTTTCTATGCTGGTATCATAGAGTCAATGCAAAAAAAAAAGAGAAGGAAAGAAAAACAAGAACCTGGGAAACATCAAAAACCTAAAAAATAGCCCCAAACCAATAAAAAAATCCAAACCAATAACTCCAAACCAATAATAACCTCTTAGAATCTACTGGTTCTTCTTCTGGATCAAGAAGCGTTCAGTGTGTCATGACAATTTAGAAGATAACTGCAGTTCAAAATTAATTGTTTTATGAAAAGCATCTTCTTCCCAAAAGCTACATTCAAGTCATTTGGGACAGTATTAACGTGATCTTGTGCAAGCCACAGCTTATTTTTAGTCAACTATCTTACTGGTTCCAAAGTTTGCAGAAAAATAAGTGGGATAGCAGAAGTAATACACCAAAACACTGGCAGAGAAAATACGCAAGATTTATTTATTTCTTGGATAGAATCTTGATTTGCTATTTAATGGGAGGTAGAATTCCCAGTCACACCCAAGTTATTGCTTGTGTGTATAGTAAAAATAGTGCGGAGGGAAATTTGCTGCAGAAAAAATATATATATTTTTAATTGACAATTGCATGTCCTTAAGTGCTAAATAGTAGGTTAGAAACAGAAAAGTCAAGTGACCTAGTATACTCTCTTACCAGAAATTCTTTTCTTACAGTGTATTTCCAATGCACTATTTATTGAAAAGCATGTCACTATTTCCTTCTGCATAATGAAAACAATAGAAATGACATTTTTTCTAAGACAACATGAAGAAACAGACTTGGTGAGAATTCTGGTAACTACCTGTATTTTAATTACTTTTCCACATTCTGTAGCTGCCCGTCTGACTTCACCAAGACTACACCACAGGGGAAGAGAACAATCCAAGTTTTCTGAACACTCAAGCATTTGCCTTTTTTTACTATGTTTTGCTGATCTGACTATTTCAGACTCCTGCGAAGAACTACTGATTTTTGTTGAAACACATTTGTAATTCCATTTCCCCTTCAAGAAGCTGATGTGGCATTAGCAATTAGGTAGCTCAACTCCCTGCCTTTAATCTCAAAAATGCACATATATTAGGTACTATTGCTCTCCTGCCTTGCTTCCTTTTAAAAAAAAGGTGAGCAAAACCTGCAAATGTTAGGAGAAAGATTACATAAAAAGGATATGCCATTTTTTAATAAGTGAGGAGAATAAGAGACAACTAGAACCAGTGTATCTGGCACAGAAACTTTCCAACCAGTCTAAAAAGGAAGCTCTTGCTGTAGAAAACAAAGTTCTCACTGAGTATTAAAGGACTGAAAATTTTCACAAGTTGCTAGAATATTTACACCTATGAGGTAGAATTTAGCAAAGTATCATAGAACATGGTAATTAACCCACACAAGGAATGTGTTCT